CCGCAGCGGGAGGGACACAGGCCCAGACCCCCCATTCTCTAGGCCAGAAGCGGCGCTCAGGGCCCGTCCTGCTTTGGGGGTTCCGTGCGGTAGCCCGGGACCGACGGTCTGTCTACGTCAGGACCCAGGCTGCTGGGGAGTCTGCTAACTCAGGTCGTGTCGGAGGGCGGCGCGTCCAAAGGAAACCGAAAGCAGCCCCAGGTCTGGGCTGCGCCTGGGCCCGACGCGAGCCATGCTTGGACTCACGGCCCAAAGCTGGCGGGTGTGGGGGTGAGGCCCGCGGCGGGGGCCGAGACAACGTCCGATGGTCCCAGTGGCCCTGTCCCGCCCGGCCAGCGCCTCAGGCCGAGCGGCCCACCTGCCCGGCAGCACCTGAGCGGTCACCAGGGGGCGCCCGGCGCACAGCCGCTGCCGCGTGGTGCCCGGGGGAAGCCCCGCGCGTCTCCTCTGGCAAATGCACCATTCTTGTTGCTACGCTAGCAAGGAGGGAGTGAGCGCGGGCCGGGGGAAAGCGCAGGACACATGGCACGTGACACGGCGGCGGCGGCGAGGTCCGCCAGCGTCAGATGCCCCGGCCCCTTTTCTGGACAGTTAGAGCATAACCCCCCACCCACCCACCCACTGTGCCTGCAATTGCGCGAGACGCCCCCGGCTCTGACCTTTGGCCAACTCATCACCACACCCCCTTAGGCCATCACAAAGGCCTGGCAGCTGGGAGGGTTCCTTTGGGAAAAGGGGCTTGGCAAGTCCTCAGGAAGGAAGGGAGACCAACCAGACGATGGGCTGAGAAGGCTGCCAGCTGGAGCTGCCTCGGCCCAGAGAAGCACGGGTGTGGAATGTGAGATTGCTTGGGAAACTAGTCACGGACCGCCTGCCCACACAGAGCGTTCCTGCCCGGCTTTCAGCAAGTACCAAGGGCTTTTTTGGGCCACGAATCTGGCCAGCCAAGAACATACGGCTAGGACACAGAATGCAGGGATGACCAGCCTGGACACAGGACACCAAGCCCAAGGTAACCAGGCTGCAGTGACCAGCCTGAACAGAACCCTGCTGCAACGTGGATGGGACACTGAAGCAGACCCAGAAGGGCAATGCCTTGTCACCCCACATGAAACGTCTGGCCATCAGGGAGTGAAGGGGAGTGGCTGCCAGGGCTTCAGGAAGGGACTGCTCGTGGGCCCGGGGGGCTTCTCTCTAGAGTGAGGAAATGTTCCAGAATTAGAAAGAAGTGGCTGCACACCACTGAACACACCAGCCACCACTGACCTGCCCTCTGAAAGAGTGGACTTCATGGGCTGTCTCAAGAAAGCTTTCAACAGCTGCTGAGCGAGCAAAAGAACGAGGGCCCATTCACACCAGAACTCAGCCAGGGTGAGGAAGTGAGCTGGAGAACACCCCGCCCCTTAAAGTCTGGGTGACCTGGAGTGATGGCCCAGAGTGAGGGAGGCCTCCAGGACCTGATGGGCAAGGTTGGCTCCCTGCAGGTTGTGGTCAGCTGCTCATTCTGCACAGCTCTGTGGCTACTGGCTTTGAGCCCCACTCTGTTTTTTTTCTGACTGCTGATGAGATTGTTGCTTTTTCCTACTGGGGTTATGTTTCTGGCCGTCTCACAGTGTTCTGGTTTGCCCACACCTCCAGGTTCTATAGCCCCCTGGGCTGGAAGCCCCGGAGTGGACAGAAGCCTGACTGCTTCCTCTATTGGTTCGAATGGCCGAGTCCAGTGACTCAGGGCCTGAGGGCCAAGGCAGCGCTGGGAGTCTTCTGAAGCAGCTCCCCCAGCCTGCTGGCATGTGGAACTTGGGTGTGGCAGACCGTCTAGGTTTATGTATTAATCCGGGGTGACTAGAAAAACAAATCCACAGGTACTCGTGTGTAAAAGAGAAAGCTTTATATCAAGAAAACATCCTATCTGTCTAATACCAGTCTATAATTTCCTCTTCAGACTCATGCAACACATGCAATGATGCTGAATGCAGGAAGATCACAGGCCAGTAGGTGGAAAGTCTTGTGGATCCAGTGACAGTGGAAGCATCTCAGTGCTAGTGTGGGTCTCCGTGTGGCTCCTCCAGTTCCAGGGCTCTAGGTAGCTCCATGTGTCTTGTCATCAGGAATACCAAGCAGGGAGTGTGTATGTCCCACCTCCAGTGAGCTATTTATCTCCATAGCGCCTCCAAATGAGGTCATCAAGCAGCAACCTGATTGACAGGCTAAACTTCCACCCCTTCACTCTTAATAGTCTCAAATTAGCAAAAGATTATGTAACTACCACAGTTTATCTGACACTTTCTGACACCCACCCCCCACCCCCACCCAGCTTCTCAGCCCAGGACCATTGTTCCCCTCCTGCCCTGGTGGGCTGGAGAGGCAGGGTCTGGGCAGGTCATAGGAGGGGCCTCTGGTGTTTCTGGGGTGGGTACCTTCCTGTCCATTCCTGTCCCAGGCCAGCTGTTGAGACCAGCAGTAATGTAGTGTGAGGTGTACGTGAGGGTTTAGAGCTTCGTTGGCACATTGTGTTATCTCAAGGTCAGCAGTTCAAAACCACCAGCTGTTCTGCAGAAGAAAGAGGAGGCTTTCTGCTCCTGTAGCGTCACAATCTCAGAATCCCACAAGGGCAGCTCTACCCTGTCCCATAGGGTCACTGGCAGTCGGCATCGCCTTAATGGCAGCATGTTAGATGTTTGGAGAACCACATGAAAAAGTTTAAAGAAAACAGAGGGCCTAAGGTTTAGTAACATGCCCCAAATGCTGACATGCCACATGGAGGTGATCACTCATTAGCCAGGGATGCCATAGCTGGCCACCAGGCTGGAGTCCCCTGATGCCCCCAGGTCCTGCCCTGCAGCTGGCAGGCACCCTCAGTGAAAACCTGACCCCAGCTCAGTTCGGGGGCAAGATGCCCAAGGGTGCCCTGGGTTCTGCGTGTTGATGTTGGGCCCCCACCCACATGAGGGTGGCATGGAGACCCCAGCGGAGGGACCAGACAGCGTGCACCTCGAATGCTGAGTGCAAACCTCAGCAGAGGAAGCTCACCTGGCTGCCTGCTGGGGTTCTGCTCAGTGACTTGTGCCCGCTGATGACGCCCTCCTGTGTCCCCTTAGTGACCCTCAGAGCTGAGGCCTTGCTACTGTGTTCTTTGGTCACAGGAAGCCCACTTCCCTGCTGGAGCTTCTTGGGGCCCAGCCAAGGCTGGGGGTTGGGGACTCAGTCTGGCCCCCATTGAGGTGGGTGTGGAAGTGTGGTCACCAGGTGTCTAGGGAGCCCTGTGTGCTCCCTGAGGTGCCCACCAGTGCCAGTCCCTGGGGTCCAGCTGTCCGCCCTATTGCTGCTCCCAAAGCCAATAACCATGGGGTCTGAGGCCAGACCTGCCTCTCTCCCTCTCATCCTTGCCTCTGATGCCAGCCGACCCCTTGACACTCTGCTTCTGCAGTGGGGTTCCGTCACCCCTTGCGTGGCCCCACACTTGTTGGGACAGGTAACAGCTTATAGTTCAGGTGTGAAGTGCTCAGGGTAGTTGTTGGGTGAGAACAGCTGCTTCCGTGCCATGCCCACAGACAGGCCTTTTTGACCTGCCCCTTCCTGGCCTGGCCTCTGTCCTGCTTGGGCAGGTGGTCAAGCTATTGTGGAGCTGCCAGTAAGCGCCCAAAGGTCAGGTTACTCTGCTGTAAGCCTCAGCCTGAAGACACTCAATTCCAGTTCCCTGAATCCCAAATCCAGCTTCCGTGTCCAGAGGCACCCCGCTCCACCCTCCACCAGCCACCCTCCTGTCCAAAGCGCTCAGCCTCTGGGATGCCTGCACTCCCTCTCATGCACTGGCTTCTGGTTCTGCTGATGCTTGTCTGGTGTCACGGCTGACACCTGTTCCAGGAGGTCCACTGCCGGGGTCTTGGGTCCAAAGGGTGTGTTCCTCTCCTGGCTCTTCTCTCTTGCTGGTGGAGGGCCCCCCACTTCATACCCAGTAGGATGGCAATCTCAATTGACCCTGTTAATCACACAACTGAATCATGAAGCGTGCTTGGTAGGAGGGACAAGGGTCTGGGGTGCAGGAGCCACATTAAATCGTGCACAACAGTGCACCCTTTCCTGCTCTTGCCTGTGTGCCTGCCATATTGGGGTGTCCAGGGGGAACTCCCCGCCTGGAGGGGCTGAAGAATACCAGACCCCTCCTGGCCAGCACCTTGGTGCATCGAGTGCTTCATGTTGGGCGCTCAGGCCACGGGGAGGCCTCACTCTGGTTGGGAGCTGGGTCTGCGCCCCATCCTGGTGGAGCGCATGGCACCTGTGTCCCAGCGCTGGGCGCTCAGGGCCTGATACGGGGAAGCACAGACGTTGGAAACATTCGAGTGGGGGACATGTCAGCCTCAGCCACACAGCGTGGGGACCTGAGGGGCCGCTGCCTTTGATGCTAAGCCGAGTCCCACATGGTGTGCAGAGCCACAGGGGTCTTAGTGTGGACGCAGAGCTGCCATCTTGCATTGGTCAAGCGCCTTGGTTCTGGGACCCCTGCACGAGGCCCCCTGGGTGCAGCAGACCCAGGAGGAATAGCAAGGTGGGGTCCGGCTTCCCTCAGCCCAAACTCACAGAATCAAGCCCACTGCAGTTGGGTCATCCCCCAGGATGGCGCTCCCAGGGGCCCACCTTTCTGCTGAGCAGTGGGCAGCGGGTTGTACTG